CCTATGGCCTCCCAAGCACCTCTTGTGATTTTAGATCGTCCTGCTCATTCTCGATATCCTCAGTGTTTTCATAATTCCACTAAGGTACCGAATTTTAATTATTCTTGATATTCAGATTCCTTTAGCTATTTTTTAAGCCCTATTTACAAATTATTTGAGTCTTCTTCCTATTAAAATTTCTTGATCCTCTTTGACAACAAGTTATAGCTAAGAAACTCTCTGCATTGGATAAGATTGATTCTTGGGTTTTGGTTTCAGTACCACCTGATAACAGTGATTTTTTGCTCTTGTTAGGTCAATAAGATCAAAACCAAATCAATGACTCGATTGAGCTATATAAAGCCAGATTAGTTATTAAAAGAACCACTTAGTAGTATGCTGTGAATTATGAGAGGACATTTGCTTATGTTGCAAAGATGACTACTGTTCATACATTTATTATTGTTGCCTCAATTCGTTGATAGAATATCTTTCATATAAATGTTGAAGATACCTTGTTAAGCCTGCGTTTGGTACACATTATTTTTGGTCAAATAGAAAAAATCCGACCTTTGCAACAGACAAAGCCTGACAAAAGGTTCAGCTCTACAGTGCCAATTTTGACAATTTCTGAATTGGACTTCCACATTTACCCTCACTGTCATTTAAAATTCAACAGTAAAAAAATGATTAAAGGGCAAAGTTGTAAAAAATCACTACAATCCATTTGACTACAAAACCAAGCTACAGATGTGGGATCCACCTGATGTGATGCTAGAATGCATTTTTTTTTTTTGGAAAATAATGTGTACAAAACGCAGGCTTAAATGGGAATCTTTGCAGGGATGTTCATGTGGTACTCTCTCCTAATGTTTCTGATAACCATGGAAACGTTTGCATACTTAAGAAGGCAATTTATTGCCTCAAATGTACACCTCGTGATTGGTTTGAAAAGTTTTCTATTGTTATTGCCTCTTTTGGTTATTCTCCGTTTGACATGCTTCTACTCTATTTATTCGGTATACATCAATATGTTACATTATTCTTTCTTTATATGTTGATGACATAATTATTAATGGTGATGGTATTGATGGGATTGTTGTCCTGAAGTTAGAATTAGCTCATCAATTTGAAATGAAGAACTTGGGCCCTCTATGTTACATTTTAAGTATAATGGTTGCTTATTCTCTAAAGGGTTATTTTCTATGGGGCTGTCCGTGGGTCGGTTCGGTTCGGTTCGATGTTGAAGAGACCCGAACCGACCTAAAACTTTCGGGTATTTAAAAAATGGACTTGTTGGGTCCAAATATAATTATGGAACCGTTCGGGTTCGGTTCAATTCGGGTCGGGTCGGGTCGATTCGATTCCATACCATAATTAATGTAAAAAATCACTACAATCCATTTGACTACAAAACCAAGCTACACATGTGGGATCCACCTGATGTAATGCTAGAATGCATTTTTTTTTTTTTGGAAAATAATGTGTACCAAACGCAGGCTTAAATGGGAATCTTTGAAGGGATGTTCATGTGGTACTCTCTCCTAGTGTTTATGATAATCATGGAAACGTTTGCAAACTTAAGAAGGCACTTTATTGCCTCAAATATACACCTCGTGATTGATTTGAAAAGTTTTCTATTGTTATTGCCTCTCTTGGTTATTCTCCGTTAGACATGCTTCTACTCTATTTGTTCGGTATACATCATCATGTCACATTATTCTTTCTTTATGTGTTGATGACATAATTATTAATGGTGATGGTATTGATGGGATTGTTGTCCTGAAGTTAGAATTAGCTCATCAATTTGAAATGAAGAACTTGGGCCCTCTATGTTACATTTTAAGTATAAGGGTTGCTTATTCTCTAAAGGGTTATCTTCTATCTCGGTCTAAGTATATAGTAGACATTATTGAGCGTGCATGTCTTACTGATACTCGTACTGTACTCTTGAAATCAACTTTCGGTATTCACCCTCTGATTTTATATCTTTGACCGACCATACTTTATATCGTACTATTATTAGTTGTTTGGTATATCTTATCATCAATCGTCTAGATATTGCCATTTATGTTCATATTGTTAGATCATTTGTAGAATCTCTTACTATAGTTTATTGATTTGCTATTGTTTGTATTTTTTTCTATATTCATGGCACTTGCTTTCAAAGTCTTTCAATTCCGTCAACCTCATCTTTAGAGCTACGTGCATACTCTCATACTGATTAAGCTAGTGATCCAATTGATCTTAAATCCACCACTAGTTGCACTCTTTCTGTATATTTTTGGGTGATTATCTTATCTCTTAGAAGAGTAAGAAGCATATGTTGTTTCCTGATCTTCTACCAAGGTTGAGTATCGTGCTATAGCATTTACTTCTATTGAAATTGTTAGATTATGTTGGTTACTTGCAGATATGTGTGTTATTCTTGTCAATCTGACTCCTATTTATTGTGATAATAAGAGTGTTATTCAAATATCTCACAATTCTATGTTCTATAAGCAGACATAGCACATTGAAATTGATTGTCAATCTCATTCGCCTCCACGTTGAGCTTGGCACTCTCACTCTATCTTTTGTTCTTTCTTCGAATGCAACTAACTGATTTTTGTGCACAAAATCGTACGCTGTTCAACAATTTCATTTTTGGATTAACAAACTTTCGCTACTTCTTGGTGTCGCATCGTGAGTTTGAATTGAGATATTAGCATAATGAGTTTATGTTATTTGTATTTAAGTCATTTCATATTGCTAAAGAATAATGGTAGTTTCATGTTATGGTAGTTTAGTCATGTTGCTATTAGACCATTTAAGCTCCTGTTTTAGGGTCTTATGCCACTTCAAATATGCCCCCCCATATATACATAAAATAATTTTTATTTAATAAAAATATTAAAAATTATAAATATAATAATCTAAAACTTATCAAATCTCTAAATTTAATTTAATTTTCTAGATTTTTTGATAGAAAATCAACAATTATACTGTTACCATCAATCTGTTTTAGAAATTCTTTCTCAATAAACACCATGACCAATTCATTCAACATTTCTTATGATATTGTTATCCAAATGTAGGATTTTATCAACTTCACTTTGAGAAGTTATTCTCGCGGCAGATGCAATTGGAATTAGTATAGTCAATAATATTCTACAAGAAATCCACATATTTGAAAAACAATAGTCCATCATTTTAATATAGTCTTACACTTCAATCGTATTTTTGGTCTCTTCTATCCAATAATTTCTCAAGTTTGTAGCTCAACAAATAACTCTTGCATACTATTATAATTTCTATCGTGCTTCAAAAATTTTCAAGTTCATCACACCAATACTTCAAAAAATTACCATCTGCAGTTTTTTAGAATCAAACAAAAATCTAAAAATATTTTATATTTTTTGAAATTGTTCAAACCTTAACCTAAGTGAAGAAATGGCTTGATCAATAAGAAATAATCCCCTCTAAAAGATTATTTATCTGAAAGTGTTATCATATCATTGAAATTTTCATCCTAGTGCTTCTTTCTATGAATTATACGTCTTTCATGAAATGTATGTTCAAACTTCAACTTCCATTTGAGCAACAGTTTCTTTAGCAGTAATCTTGTCAGATTCAAATCCAGTTTCTTAGTATATTTCAAAAAATAAAATAGGTGCTTTCAGATGATAAATAGCAATATCAATAGGCATGTCCTCACTTTACAATAGTTTGCTTATTCTATTAATAATTGTTATATATTGTACCAAATAATTGTGTCAAATAATAACTCAAAATTCGTAATGTCAAAATGTAAACTTTAGTATTTTTAAATGCCTTAAGGTAATCACATGTTTCTATCATGTGTTCTAACGCGACCTTTATTTGTGGCACTTGAAAACTTATTGATTTAACACTTTCAACTTGATTTTCCCAACATGTTTTTGATTAAATGTCTAACATTTCACATTATCTTAAAAAAAAAATTCATCATGTATATACATATATAACTTGACCTTTTAAATCATCAATATCAAGTCAAAAGTATTTTAAAAACATATAATAATTCACCAGACAATTCTTGAGTTGAAGTATCAATAAAGAATAAAGAGAGAGAGAGAGAGAGAGAGAGAGAGAGAGAGAGAGAGAGAACACTCCTACTTTAATCAACTTACTAAGATGTCTACATAATTAAATTTTAAATACTTCTACAAACAAAGAATGAACTAATATAACGTTTACATTTTAATTAAAGACCAGTAAGCTTGCTAATTGGACAACTCAATTCGCTTGGTTGATTACATTTGAACTTTATTTTATTCGTAATTTTTTATGAACTATATGTAATATTTTTTTTGGGACCCTCATAAAAGTGGAGCATTAAGCGATTGCTTACCCCCACCTATAGTCAGGACCACCACTACAGGTATGGCTCTAGAGAACCAAACAACTGCCAGAAACAAATTTTAGCCCCATTCAATTGATATGTTCCTGAAATCCAGGAAAATATTTTTTTTAACATCGTAAGCATTTTCTACAATTGAAATAATAAGACTTGTACTAATGGTGGATGTTAACCTATTTCTACAAATGAGAGAAATAATAAATTGTAAAAAATTAGTATATGGAGGTGTCTTTTAAACAATTGGTTTTATTTTAGTTGCCGTATGTTATATGAGGTGATTGATATCAATTTATGGTATTTGAATTCGGAATTATCTAAAGGTAAAATATACACATTTACATTCACGTTTCGTCACTACTCAATTTCATCATGAAGAAAAGTAAAGCAGTGGCGATCTCATATGTCTCGATTGAAACATAAAAGTGGACACCTTAAAATTTCTTGCTGTTATCAAGCAAGCACTCAATAAAATTGGACACTTCCTTGCTGTGATACACAAAAGGCTTAACCAACCTCAATATCCATGTAGACAACATTTTATTCTGCATTCGAGAGTTTGATAGGCTCTAAGTAAGTATAAAAAAGCAAGAGGTTTGGAGCAAAGAACTCGAGTCCTTTGTTTTTTGAAACTCAAATATGATCACTTCTTATCAGACTCATCAGGAGACTGTAAGTACCAGTTTTCGAGGCGTGCTGTAGCTTTAAGTACCTGAAAAAAAGAATTTGAAGGAAAAAAAAAATATTGAACATGTCAGTTCACTTCTTTTCTAGTTATAAAGATTTATTCAAATCTACCTGTTGGTCCCAATTTGTTCTCCATGCCATGAGGATCAATGCAAGTGTCTCGGTGACCACACCGCACAACATCCCAATCCATACTCCCTGTGAATTCAGAACTAATGATTTTCGACGATATGGGTGCGCGAGGGAAACATTCTCAAGAATATAACAATGTTTTGAGGATTCGATAGATGATTCTAAATGGGCATGTTTAGGCATTATATAAGCTGGGTAGTATTGCAGAGAATAATACATAAAATTTCGTTCTTTAATCTTGTTCAGTATTATGTCGTACAACATACACCAAACATTCCATAAACGATTGAGGAAGAGAGGCTTCTATTCTGTCCAGCCGAATTTCGTATATATTTGCAAATGAATATTCAAACGTGGTTTCATTGGCATTCATCTATTGTGGAGATATTCACGACATAAAATTCTCTAAGTTCATTCTACCAACCAAAAAAGAGCAATCAGATGTAAATGAAAAACCTTATCGATAATTCTTTCCTTTCTACCAAAATATAAAATGTAAAATTACCTTAACTTGAAGATGAGTAAAATAACCAAGTAAAGCTCCTATTGGTATTCCAATTATATAGAAGCAAACAACATTAATAATTGCAACTGTCGTTTGTACACCTGCTCCAACTGCCACTCCTGATAGAAAATAAGTAACAGATTAATATATGCTAGGCTTGGTTGAGGAAATGTATTTCATATTACGGATTAATTCCTAATCTATTGTAGCGAAAATAATATTATCAACAAGAACAGAAGAAGACAAAACATGCAGATTTATAGTCGTTCATCCTCGTGAGCGAGCATCACTTTGCTGCTGCAGAAGATTACAGGTCTCAAACTCAAAATTGTCCTCCTAAAAGTTTTTCAATATATATAGTTAGAATATTAGGGGGAAAGGGTTTAGTATGATTGGGTTCCACCTGATCCACCATTTTGATAGTACCGAAGAATATATGACTAACCTGAGAGTACTGGATAGATACTATTGAGCAACACTGAGAAAGCAAGTAGTGGAGAAAGATCAGAAATACTATGTGCAACTTCTTCATCGTTAGTGAATAAATATCCGATTTTATTGCCAAATATTAAGCAGAGGATCCAAAAGAATAGCCCTATTGATACTGAAGTAGTGATCAGGACTTTAATCGAAAATTTAACAGCCTTCGCATCTCCTCTACCAAGCTCATTTGCAACCCGAACGCTATGTATCCAGTGAAATAGTGAGAACTAGTTTTGTAAACACAAAAAAAAAGTTTATTGAGAAAGAGGATGTGTAAATACCATGCAGATCCCATCATGCCAATACTAATCATGGTTTCCCATCCCACCATATTAAGGCTGCAGAAATTAGTTTTAATTAGTAGATATCTTCATAATGTAGCAGAGAATGAGACAAGATTGTAATGAATCATTACCAAATAGAAAAGGCAGATATGGCAACCTTTGCATTTTTCATGTATCCTGCTAATAAAACCAGAATGGCGTAGTACCATAACTCTAAGCTGCAAGACAATGAAAAGGATTGACAAGTGAAGATTGCATGGTATAAGCATTTTTTAGTGATTGTACAACTGGTGCTTAAACAATAGTGCATGTTTAGTGGCTTAATATTGGATGATACAAAGAACAAGGTACTAATTTTCTTCATTACTATTGTCAAGTAGTATGCTGTCCACCTTACCTAACAAGTGAATACTATAAAAATCATGCAATGTATATGGTTATGCTTCTAATGGAGAAAATTATAAATTGAAGTTGTAAGTATCATCAAGAGAGGATCGAAGAAGAGTTCGAATTAATTCAAAGTAACAGAAAACTCAACACGTCTTAGAACAGTTGCCAGAATTTTGATTCTGCAGACCTTGAAAGCACTTAATGTTGGTAGTATGAAAAGGAGCACGTAATTTGTCCAGAAGTTCTACGAGCCTAAATGAAATATTGGCATTTGATGAGAAATTAAATCAGAAAAAGAACCTACCAAACCATAACACCAGAAGATACTGAAAGTTTCACCACTGGCAATACGTCCTTGAATGCAGCTGTAGTGAATCCCTTCCATGAATCGGGGCACCAACCTCCGAAGATGTATACAAATTCTCCAATGACCAGAAACCATGAAGATATGCATAGCGCTCCCATGGCCCCAGAAATTCCCCAATTCAGTTTGTAGACAAAAAGCCAAGACAAGAGAATGTGGATTACAAATTCTATAACAGATAGCCATGCAATTACCAAATTCTTTTGTTGTGATTGTAGATACATTTGGATTGTCATAGCAAAAAGGAGACTGTAAATAAACGGGATGAACCACAGAGAAACATATTCAGCAGATTTTGCGATATCATCTTCCTCCCGAAGCAGTCTAAGGATTGGTGCTGCGAAGATAAAAACAGGAAGTAAGATTGTTAATGTGATAAGATCCACAATCCATGATCTTTGCAAGAAAATGCCCAACATATGGTACTGTTTTGCTCCAAATGCTTGCCCGCAGAGAGTTTCAGTTGCACTTGACATTCCTATCTGCAGAAATTAGAACTAAATAAAGTAAATTAAGATGAACAATAGTAAACGATAAAAGTGTTTGAATTGAAACATTTTGCTCTAGTCTAGTCTATTCCACCATGTGGAGTTTTTAAGAACCTATAGTCTTTGCATCCACGGTTAAGGGACAGAACGAGGTAGACAGTTTATATAGGACATGGGCCTCCAATAGGTAACAGAATAAGGTGCTTTGTTCCTCAAGGTCCTTATTTATCTCTTGATTTAAACCCTAAGGGTGAGTTTGATACACCATATTGGATTAGGGTGAATAGGATTAAGGGGAATAAGATTAAGGTGGATTAGGGTGTATTGTTATAATACGGGTTTGGCGCAACACAGGATTTGATAAAAGTATCCTTATCCAGTGTAATACAGTGTGTTAAATGCACCCCAAGTGTGTCTGTGAAGTAATTTCACTTTAAACTTTCATTCCATTATCATTATAGACAAAAAAAATTTACTGATTCTCTATTTTCAAATTCTAATATTTTGTGTGCTGTATTTACAACAATTGAATCAGCCATTGATAGTCCACAAGCAATTATGTAATTCTTGTATAGCATTTTTCTTCCACAGCAAAACCAACCTTGTTGGACTCTGTATTGTCCAAACATACTTTGAACTCATAGTGAAAACCTGCAGCATCTTGTGAACACAACTCTCACATTAGCCCATGTTTGGCTCCCATTATCTAAAACTCATTTTTCCTCGACTCTTTTTCAACCACACATTTCACGGAATCCACAATTTTTCAACTACATATTTCATCAACTGTTATCAAAATCTGAATTTTAACTAACCCAAACATGGGCTAAAAAAATACTGTAGAACTGTGTGTTGTTGCTTTGCTTATTATTTCTCCAGTAAGAAGTGGTTAAGGCTTAATTTCCAAAAACCATATCATCAAAATTAATTAGAGCGGGAAGAACACGTGCTCAATATAAAATTATGCTATAAGTAACAGATAAAAGGATGGAACAGAAGCATGAAGCTAGTTACCAGTATTCCATTTACGAATCGAAGGGATAAGGTTTGAACAAGTGCATAAGCAGCAAGATCAGATGAACTTATGTGTCCAATAAATGATTGAGTAACAACTACGGTTCCAAATGAAGTCACTCTCGATATAATACTAGGCAAGGCAACCTTCCATATTTTCTTGGATTCTTTATAAATTCTCCCTTTCAAATCACCAACCTCTTCTGCTTCTGACCTAATCAACCTCTGTTGCATATCCTTGTCCATGGCCTTGCGACAATGGATGCGGATGGAAATTCAGCTACTGTCAACAAAAAAAAAAAGAGCACGCTTTAAGAGTAACTTTCTAAACTTAAACAGACAGAAAAATAGTAAATAATTGCATTATTGAAACCCAAATATGTCCCCTACCCTTATCATTCATGAAATCATCTTTCTTCTTCTTCTTCTTCTTCTTCTTCTTCTTCTTCTTTTTAAATCACATCAAACAAATTCCCAATTTTTGTTTCTTTTTCTAATTATTTGTTAACATAAAAGTGAATGATTTGTGTTTGTCGGAAAAAGATGATACATACATAAACACAAGTTTGGGATGAAAAATAAAATTGCAAAATAAATGAAACTTAAACTTGGCTCAGGTTTATGAACGCTAAAAACACTATTTTGGAATCCAAGTGCTACCCACCGAACATTTATTTTTTTTAATTTCTATCTATTTACAACTTAAACCATTTACAGAAACTTCCCAAGCATGCGCTTAAACAAAAATGTGCAATGGTTGAATAGGGAAAACACACACAGGGAAGAAGAAAGAGAACAGATTTTAAAAGTATACATGATCATGTTCGGCTAAGCTTAGAAGTTCGGTTTCTTGGCTTGTAAGTTCTTAGCTAAACGTGCTTTTAGACTGCGTGCGTGTGCGAGAGAGAGAGAGAGAGAGAGAGAGAGAGAGAGAGAGAGCTGTACATTGTCTCTATAATCAATGGCGGGTTGATCTTTCTGTAGCAGCTTGGCAGAGAAAGAGGAAAGGGTAGCTCTTTATATAAAAACACATCTTTAACCCCCAAACCTCATTTTTAACAAATTAAAATTTGGGAGAATTTGTTAAATAATCTAGTCAAACAATATATTTGATTAAAGAATCAGTCACAAGTACAGAAAATTTGTACAAAATTGGTACAAAAATTTGAAATTGATAACACAGATTCAAAGATAGAAAAAAACACACACACAAATGCACAAGATGTTGTTGTGATTGTGTGAGTTATTCCACGTACTAAAAAGAACAACTCTTGATTAAATAACCGTCTTTCAATATTTGTTGGTAAAATAGCCTTCAATTACAAAATCTATGATAGACAAATAATATTAAATGTCCAAACGCCCCCACCATGGAAAATGCCCAAACACCACCAATCAAATTCCTCAATTCTTCACCAAACCTCATCAACTTGTTCTCCGTGTTGGAAATATTTGAATGAAAATCAATGCTGAAAATCAGTTTGTATGAAAATCAGTTTCAAATGGGAAACAGTTTCATTAGTTCATTAATGCTAAAAATCAGTTTGTATGAAAATCAGTTTCAATGGGAAACAGTTTCATCAGTTCATTCGTTTCATCACCTCAATTTGTATGTTTCATCACCTCAATGTTGTAACTCCTCATTCATTGCATTAAAGAGCTGGTTCCTACTCTATTGGTAAAAATAGATGAGCTCTCGGTTGTAATGGACACAGTAAACACAACAAAGGGAAAACAAAATTCAGTTTCCTCCTCTTTCATTTCCAGCAACCTCTGCTTTTATTCTTTTTTCTTCCTTTGCTAAATTTCTTTGAGAGATAGACACAGCTGGTTTGTAGACAATTAACGTAGTGCAGCATGAACCGACAACCGATTGTATCATGGAAATCGAGCACCGATCAATACCTCTTGCACTCCGGTGAGGCGGCGAATTCGATTTAAGGAAATTGTGTAAACACCGGCATTCGGTTTTGTTTTGATCTACTTTGATTCTCTAATTATTATCCAAGAAGTTTAAATCGAATTCTCATTTCGAGAAAATTGAGAACAGATTTTTTTCTTCCAAGTTTGTTTACTGTCGATTTTTTTTCTTTTTTTCCTCCCCACCTTCTGTTTGTTTGTCTGTTACGAAAAGGTTGATATTCTATCTATTTAATAGTGTGTTGTAAGTTCATTAGGTTTGAATCAGTACGGTTGAAGAAAAAAACTTGGTTTACAGAAAAGTCCCTTAGGATAGGTTCCCTGCGGTTTTGGTTTGCATGGTAGAATTGATAGTGATTTTGCATGGATTTAAGTAGCTTTAGATGGTTTTAACAATCAAGATGGTTTTCAAATCATTTTGTAATGATTATTTAATTATTTACAATTATTACTCATGATTGATTACTTTTTTTTAATGATTAATCAAATTATTAGTTAAATGATTTCTAATTCAATTTTAAATGATTGTTAAGTTGTAAATAATTTGACAAAATAATATGTTCTAAAATTTTATTTTTTCGAACATATAATTTAGATCTCGAATTTATAAGTATTTTAAATTATTTGTTGCTTGTTCTTTAAGGTTAAATGGCGTCACATGGAAATGACAATGTGAACAACAGAAACAACACTGTTGGTACCGGTGTACCAAATTCTGCAATGACCACTGTGAACTTTGTGGAGACCTCTATTGGCATTCCTCCCGTAGATGGGACAATCGGTGGCGGGATTCCTCATGTCGGAATGAACCTCACTTTGCCTACGGCTGCGGCCTAGGCAATCCAATTTGGTACAATACTTTTGCCAGTACTTAGGGCTGCGGTCTCGGTACCTTTGCCATCGTTTCCAGCTTCATTTCCGGTGAATTATGCAATTCGACTAGATAAGTTTATTGGCACTAATTTAAGACATGACAGAATAAGATGATTTTTTATCTTACTACTTTGGGCCTTGCACGTTTCGTCACTGAGGATGCCCCTGTCATGGCTGAAAACGACACTGATATGCATAGGCGTGCGGCTTGGGATGCATGGAAAAGTGCTGATTTTTTGTNAGAAAAAAACTTGGTTTACAGAAAAGTCCCTTAGGATAGGTTCCCTGCGGTTTTGGTTTGCATGGTAGAATTGATAGTGATTTTGCATGGATTTAAGTAGCTTTAGATGGTTTTAACAATCAAGATGGTTTTCAAATCATTTTGTAATGATTATTTAATTATTTACAATTATTACTCATGATTGATTACTTTTTTTTAATGATTAATCAAATTATTAGTTAAATGATTTCTAATTCAATTTTAAATGATTGTTAAGTTGTAAATAATTTGACAAAATAATATGTTCTAAAATTTTATTTTTTCGAACAGATAATTTAGATCTCGAATTTATAAGTATTTTAAATTATTTGTTGCTTGTTCTTTAAGGTTAAATGGCGTCATATGGAAATGACAATGTGAACAACAGAAACAACACTGTTGGTACCGGTTTACCAAATTCTGCAATGACCACTGTGAACTTTGTGGAGACCTCTATTGGCATTCCTCCCGTAGATGGGACAATCGGTGGCGGGATTCCTCATGTTGGAATGAACCTCACTTTGCCTACGGCTGCGGCCTAGGCAATCCAATTTAGTACAATACTTTTGCCAGTACTTAGGGCTGCGGTCTCGGTACCTTTGCCATCGTTTCCAGCTTCATTTCCGGTGAATTATGCAACTCGACCAGATAAGTTTATTGGCACTGATTTAAGACATGACTGAATAAGATGGTTTTTTATCTTACTACTTTGGGCCTTGCACATTTCCTCATCGAGGATGCCCCTATCGTGGCTAAAAATGACACTGATATGCATAGGAGTACGGCTTGGGATGCATGGAAAAGTGTTGATTTTTTATATCGCAATTATGTCTTGGATGGCCTACAGAATTCTCTGTATCACGTGTACGTGGTAAAGAAGTCTGCTAAGGAGATTTGGGAGTCCTTAAAAAGAAGTACAAGTCTGAAGATACTGGGTCTAAGAAATTCTTAACTAGTCTGTGCATGGATTTCAAAATGTTTGATTCACCTTCAGTGGTGAGCTAAGTGCAGGTGTATCAAGTTCTTTTGCCAGAAATGCATGCTGATGGTCTCACTATGTTAGAATCTCTACAGGTGGCTATTGCAATTCACAAGCTCCCTCCTCAGTGGAAGGCTTTTAAAAGCTATTTGCAGCATAAGAGGAAAGAGATTTTTTGAGGATTTAATTATCAAGCGCGCATTGAGGGGGATAACAAAAAAACTGAACGTAATTTAGGGAATTCTTACTCTGAGAAGGCTAATGCATTGGAGTACGACCAGAGTTCTAGAACCAAGAAAGGTCATTCCTTTAAAACCAAACAGGGTAACGAAAGTTGGAAAGATAAAAAATAGACCATGAAAGGGTCTCAATTAAAGCCTACCAGTGGGCTAAGAAAGAAGTCTAAGTTCCAATTCATTGGAAAATGCCTCAATTGTGACAAAGTTGGGCATCTGTCGCAGACTGCCGTCAGCTGGAGAGGGATAACAAGCAGCGCCCTCAGGCTAATATTGTTGGAAATGAGAGAGATCATCTCTCAGATGACATGTCTGACCTAAATTTTATGGCAGTGATTAGTGAGGTTAACTCGGTGCGGTCTAACACTAAGGAGTGGTGGCTAAAACGGAATTGTTGAGCGTAAGAATCGAATATTAAAAGAAATGATGAACTCTATGTTAATTAGTTCTGGATTACCACAAAACATGTGGGGAGAAGTTATTCTTTTTGCAAATTACATTTTGAATAAAGTGTTAAGAAGGAATATGGATAAGACTTCATATAAACTTTGAACAGGTCGTACACCATTGTATAAATACTTACGAATATGGGGTGTCTTGCTAAAGTTGTGGTGCCTCCTCCTAAGAAGGTCAAGATTGGTCCTAAGATAGTTGACTATGTGTTCATTGGTTATGCACAAAATAGTAGTGCATATAGGTTCTTTGTGCATTATTCGAATGTACCAGATATTCATCCAAACACGATTATGGAGTCTAGGAATGTACAATTCTTTGAGAATATATTTCATTGTAAATCTCCTAAACAGTTAACTCCTGTTAAACGGACTATGGAATCTTCTGCTACTGGCAGCAGTAAAGATCCAGTCGAAGAAGATGAGGATGAGCNTCTTATATTACTTTGATACTTATTCTCCTATGTCGAGAATAACTTCTATTCGGATGATAATTGCTATTGAGGCCTTGCGAAATCTGAAAATAC